AACATCCGGGGGCTGCTGTGGGGCGTACAGCGTCCTGAGCTGTTTCCCGGGGAGGGGGCCGGAGGGACGAGAGCCCGTTGCCGCGCAGGCGCCGTGCTCCCGCTGCCCCGAGGCCCCGCCCACCTGCGCTGTGTCCCCCGGGACGCTGGGTCTCAGGGCAGCTGCCCGAAGGGGCTTCTTCACAGAGATCAGCCGTCCTTCTGCAGAATCTGGTTCCGGAAAGAAAACTGTAGCGGCCCAGCCCCTAACGCCCGGGCCTTTGGGGCAAGGGACTGGTGATTTGGGCGTGAAGTGAAATTTATGTGGGTTATGAGGGTGGTCCGGATGCTCGTGGTGTTCTGAAGCTGAGTGGTCTCCTGTGAACAGTGGACCCGACGTTGAAGCCTCACAGAAGCAGGAAGCGCCTGCGGGCAGCTTCTGACCGCGGCCCCTGCGTGCGGGTGCCCGGCCGCACCATTCGTCTCGGGGCTGACCAGGGCGGCCCCGTTGGCATCTGTGCACTGAGGAAATCCATCCTGGCTCTGGAACCTCGAGTGGCAGGGGTGACGGGAAGCTCCCGGGGCCGGTCCGCAGGGCCTGGTGCCCCTTTGGTGAGGAGCAACCCTCAGCTGCCCTCCGTGGTGCGCGCAATCTCTCTCTCTCTCTCTCTCTCTGCTTTTGTGTGCTTTGTCTTAAGAAGATACAATGTAAATAAAACATGCTGATTTTCCTTTGCTGGTAAACTTTCTATTCAGTAAAATGCAGAAATTTAAATGTGCAATTCAATGAATAATCACCTCCCTGTGTTTCCATTGTCCCCAGAAAGTTCCCAGAATACATAGATCTCATGTTTACCATGCAGATCTCACATAAATACCTGCCCATGTGCCCACCACCTGGATCAAGATTAAAAATTTTTCTGGCACCTCCCAGACTCATTGGACACATGCTGTTTGTCAGGTGTTTCGGATACTCTGATGCTGAAGCCGGCTTCCTGAATTCTGAAGTGCCTCTGGTCCTCTGGTTCCTCCCTGCCACCCACCCTGTGCTCCACCTCAAGGAGTGACTGTTTTGTTTCTGCAGATCTGGGACACAGCGGGACAGGAGCGGTTCCAGTCCCTCGGCGTGGCCTTCTACAGGGGCGCAGACTGCTGCGTGCTGGTATTTGACGTGACTGCCCCCAACACGTTCAAAACCCTTGACAGCTGGAGAGATGAGTTCCTCATCCAGGCCAGTCCCCGGGACCCTGAAAACTTCCCCTTCGTCGTGCTGGGAAACAAGATCGACCTCGAAAACAGACAAGTAAGTGCCTGAGGTGGTGGGGCCATGACCTGGAGGCCCCCCTCAGTCAGGTTATGGCTGCCAAATGGCGGAGGGGGCTTCTTTTACAAGTGGCAGCTGAGTTTGGGGTGACAGGCGCTATTTCCAGCTAGAAAGCCCGTTGTTTTTCTTCCTGTGAGAGCCGCCTGTTTCTCAGGTGCCTTGTGAACTCAGAGGGATCTGTGCTGGGCCATCCTGGCTCTGGGGCTGCGAGCAGGAGTACGCACTCCCTTCAGGCCCACAGCCTTTGAGGACCAGGGCCCAGGAGACGGTGTAAATGCCCTGCCGCCTCCAAGCCTGGCTCCCCCTCTGCACTTGAGAGGCGGGAACTGGGTTTTCTCCAGTGGTCTCCCCACCCCTGGGGGCCTGCCGAGATCTCTGCACATACAGAAGGCAGCTGTGGGCTCTGAGTACAGTTGCTCGGGTTTGCTTTCAAGTAGCATTTCTCTTGGGAATGGAGACTTTTTCTTAATTATAGGCAGGTTTATTTCTGACTATTGACCTCCTGTTCTCTCCCTCCTAAGTGACTTAGTCCTTTTCTCGGGCCTGAAAATGGGCTGGGTTGGGGGAGGAATTAGGATACGAGGGGTGAGGGTGGGAGCCGCAGAGCTCTGCGCACTTGGGTGTGTGGCCCACGTGATGTAACATGAGCAGTAACGGGGAAGGGTCTGCAAACCTTAAGACCAAACTGTCAGGCATTTTGTGTACTAGGGACCTTTTTGAGGTTCCAGGAGAGATGATTTATTTCTTCCTGGGCTGGTCTCTTAGTCTTTCCTCAAGCTGCTTTCATGTGCAGCTGAAATAAGGGCCAGGAGCTGTGGGTGGTCGACGAGGAGCCGGCTCTGGGTTTGAATCCCAGCTCTTCGGTGAGGAGCCAGCAGGGTGGCCAGGAGCAGGCCCACAGGTCTCCACCTCCTCCCCAGCCAGGGCTGCACTTGCATGGCTCTGTGTGACACCTGTGCACCCCACTGCTCTTCTAGGTGGCCACGAAGCGGGCACAGGCCTGGTGCTACAGCAAAAACAACATTCCTTACTTTGAGACCAGTGCCAAGGAGGCCATCAACGTGGAGCAGGCGTTCCAGACCATCGCGCGGAACGCGCTGAAACAGGTAGGTCTCGGGCGGCCTTCCGGCTCCCCCTGGTATGCCCCCCCCGCCTGGCTTCCTCGTCCTTCCTGTTACCTAGCTGACTCCTCTGTGTAGCGGGAGAACCCGTGTGTTCATCTGGGAAGGAAATGACACGTTCTGCTGAAGCTTCTAGCGGTTCCACGTGTCTGTGAATAGCCTCAGCGGTGAGGGCCACTGGGAAGGCCCTGGCCAGACTGCTCCTCCTGTGAGGAGGGACCGACCTGAATTCAGAGCCCAGGTCAGCTGCGCATTGTTGGACCAAGTTTGTTGTCCCATGTGATCCCCTGCCCCCTCGTCGATGCAGTGGGGCTGCCTCCTGTGCAGGTCGGCCGTGGAGATCAGGTGACACTGACCTCTGTCACTCTCCTGAGTGACCCCTGGGAAGGCTGACCCGAGCTCTAGGAGTTGTGTTCCTGGGACAGGGTTCCTGCACTTTCTTGCGTCGCCCACTCCACTGCCCCCCTTGATAACTGTGCCTTCTTGCTGGGGCGTGCGAGTCCAAGGCTTTTTCGATTCAGCAGCTCTGCTGGGCCGGCAAGCTAAGGCGAATCCCAGGCATCACCGGTCGTCTGTGGCGGTCAGAGGGGCTGCTGAGAGGCAGGTGCAGGGCACGTGGAGGCCGGGAAGGGCAGGGTGTGCCTGGTGGCTCCCGGAGCTGGGTTTGCAGCAGCTCTGGTTCTGGGCAGACAGGGCCCCTGGACAGGTGGGCGGGGAGGCATTTGGACTGGACTGTTCCAAGGACTGGGGGCTGCACCGTGTTCATTCTGTGATGAAAGGGGACGGTCCTTCCTACGAGGAACTGGTCCACCCAAAATGCCAGGTGAGCCCGCTGGAGACACAGATCCAGTGGGAGGCACTAACCAGGAGGCAGACTTCAGGTCCTGCAGCCTCCTTTCCCTTTCCTTGAAGCCCCCTCACACCTCGATTGATAGCCTAGTGGTTTTCTTAATGTTCACATAATTGTATGCAAGTCTCAGTGTGTCCAGGAGTCAGGTCCCCCAGCGCCCTGGTCACAGCCATCCCTGTGGGGCTGTTCTGGCGTTGCTGTCCCTGTGGCCTTGTTGCAGTGCCGTTTCTCCTGGTCAGCTGCTCGGAAGTCGTATCGCGGGGGGGGGGCGGTCGCGTTCCCAGTGAGTTTCCTTTCTTCCCTACCTTCCAGCGACCAGCAGGTGGCCCGTGGCCAGCCTGGCACCCGGCCCTCCTGTAAGCTCTTTCTGAACTGAGATTCACTTCACACAAAGCGCAGTGATTTTTTCCAACTATCTTTTTAAAGTCTATCCTTTGGCCATAAGAAAAGTAAACTTTCAGGCAGGTGTGCCATCTTGGGCCTCGGGACCTCCCGTGTCTCGGTCATGCGCTGACTTGGCCAGAGTCGGCTCTCGTTTACGGCAGGAGAGTGGACTCACCTCTCCTGTCACAGGGCTGGCCCATCATCTCAGATGTTAGCGGCTGGTTGTCAAATGGGCCATCTTCCCCACCACGCAGAGACGTTCCCACTGTCACATCTGGTGTCCACGTGTAGGAGCAAGCTTCCTGGTGACCTGTGGCCCTTGCCTGGAGCACCTTGACTTGAATGCTTTTACCCAAGTGTGACCTGAGCTCCCGTGGGGCAGGACTTCCCTCACTAGTTCGGCATGTTTTTTCCTTGGCTATTTCGGTGTATTTTCCATTTAAACTAACAATTTTATTCCAGTTCCACCTTCCTTTTTCACCTTCCCCCAAATTTCAACCTTACCCAAATTCTGATTGGAGTGACATTTCAGTTCTGCGTCTGCTCAGGTCAGGCTGCCCCCACAAAAGACCACAGATGGGGGCACCAAGGCAGCAGCCTTTCATCTTCTCTCAGCTCTGCAGCCGGGAGTCTGTGATCAGGGTGCCGCTGACCTCCGTCTCTGGTGAGGTCCTGCCCCGGCGTCCCCAGGCGGCCTTTCCTCTGCACACAAGACCCCTGTCAGATCAGGGGCCCTTACGACCTCATTTTACTTTAATTACCTTCTTAATCCAAATACAGCCACACTAGGGGTTAGGACTTCAACATGAGACATTGAGGGACACAACAGCTGTTGCTGTAGGTCTTGTGTGACGGTTTCCAACAGAGTTTTGTAACTTTCCAGACCCTTTGCCTTTCATAAATGTATTCCTGGGCGCTAGCACGAATGTAAAATGGTACAGTCACTGTAGAAAACAGGTGGCTCCTCAGAAAGGTAACCAGGGAGCTCTCACATGACCGACCCCGGAATTCCCCTCCTAAGCACTGTACCCAGAAGAAACGGAAGCGTGTTCCCACGGACACTCGTGTAGGATGTTCACACCAGGGTTACTCGCAGTAGCCAGTAAGTGGAACCCACACAGCCAGCCAGCCAGCAGACGGTACATCCAGAGAGTGCAAATCCGTTAAAACCAAAAGTGGGTAAGTGTGCAGGGCTCGGTGTCGGAGGGGACGGGACGCCGGCTGTCCTGCAGTGAGCTGGTGGTGGCGGTTGCCCAGCTGTGTGAGTAGACAGAAAACAGTGAACTGCACACACTGTGCTGTGCCCCAGTTGAGGCTTTGTAATATGTGTTCCTGAAGGCTTTACTTTATAGCGGTTGTGAGTGGAGTCATTTTTCCTGGAGAACTTCTGCATGAATAGAAACATTTCCTGCTTTTAAATCCTTGAATAGTTCCTGACACAGGTGTTCAGTGTGTAAGTGGCAAATTATTTTTCTACACCAAGAAGTAAAAAGCTGCTTCTCGCTGGAAACGTGTCAGTTACTTCAGCAACCCCCACCCCCGAGCTGACCAGTCACGTCCTGTGATCACGTGTGGTCGTGTCCAGCCGTGGCCGAGCCCCCTAAACGTGCAGCATTGGGATGGGCACCCCTAAACCTGTGGGAGACAAAGAAGATAGCCCCTGAGTCCAGGAAAATGAGGCAAATCCAGACCTGGACCTGTGTTTTGGGACCGAGAGGGGAGCTGGCACTCACACCAGCCCACGGTCGCTGGTCATGCTGAGAGTTGCCAGAAATCCAGGCCATGTAAAAGTCCGACTTCTCTCTGCGTGGGCCCCTCTGCGGACCCTGCAGACAGCCTGCGTCTGTGAGCCGGCGGGTCCCCGGAGCACTGTCTGGCGGAGGGCACGCCCACCTCTGCCCCGCCCGCCTGCCATGGGTCCCCGTCTTCTCCTTGGCCCTTCTCCCTCCTGCCAGGGCCTCCTTGCGCTGCCGGGCGGCCTGGGCACCAGACGCCACAGGGCCTCGGCTGCAGCCCTGACTAACGGCCTTCTCCCCTCCCCGCCCAGGAGACGGAGGTGGAGCTGTACAACGAGTTCCCCGAGCCCATCAAACTGGACAAGAGCGACCGGGCCAAGGCCTCGGCCGAGACCTGCAGCTGCTGAGCGGGAGCGCGCCGGCACGGGGCCCCTCGCCGCCCGGAACACACGTAGGCCTTCCGCCCCCTCCTCTCCAGACAGACAGCCGGTGGCCTCTCACACCCCCAGCCCTCCTCACACACACCTGACACGCGCGCGCACATGCACCCGACACGGGCAGACGACCCCACGCCTAGGCCTGCGGCGGCCCCGCCGGGGTCCCCACGCCAGCCCCCGGGGGCAGCGGACAGGCCAGCTGTGAACGTCGCCCTGCTGTGCGGTCGGCAATGGAAGCTTCTTGGTGTCCACTGGAGAGAGAACTGTTTACAGTTAATCTGTGTCTGATTAGTTCCGATTTTTTTAACCGTCTTGTGGTCTTTGTACCCCCTCCCCCGTGAAGGCTACCACTCGGGAAGGCCGGTGCCCCTGCTGCGTCCCAGGCTCACACCCAGTCTGACCGGGCTGAGTTTTGTATGTATCTGTTAATGCTTGTTACTTTTAACTAATCAGATCTTTTTACAGTATCCATTTATTATGTAATGCTTCTTAGAAAAGAATCTTATAGTACATGTTAATATATGCAACCAATTAAAATGTGTAAATTAGTGTAAGACACTCTTGGATGTGCTGAAGTCCTGTCACGCAGGCGTAGAGGTGGCGGTTGAACCCTGTTTGGATCACAGTCTCGAGAGATTCAGAAGTCAGCTGGAGGCAGTATTCTGTACAGTAGACGCGAGAATTACGTACGCCTTTTATCAGAGACTTATGAGCCAAAAAGCTTTTCATCTCTCCAGGGGGAAACTGTCGCATTCCTTCTGCATCTAAATTTTCCAAAAGGTTGATTTGCATAATACAGTGGTGTGTGCGATGGAGAAATGGCCGTTGTTTCAAAAACTTAAACTCATTTTTCCTTTTTTTCCTGCTCCACACTTTGAAACCACCCCCCCTTAGTCAGCATCCACCTACCAGAGGGAAAGGAACACCCCCACAGATCTGTCCTGGTGACTTTACCTTTGTTCTAGAAGGCGCTCCCTGCAGGGTTGAGGCACCCTTAGGTTAGCACACCTTGTTGTCCCCAGCCCCGTGTCTCCGGTGCGGAGCCCAGCTGTCCCCGGCGGCCCTGCAGAGCAGCCTGCTTGCGGAGTGCTCCCCTCCCCGAGGCCTGCGTCCCAGGGTGTGGGCCTAGTTCTTCTGTAAAGAGACGAACGTGATGCCAATAAAATGTAACAAGAACAAAGATCGTCTGCCTTTGCCCTTTTTTCCTTCTTCCAGACTTCTGGCTCAGGAAGCCCTGCTGGCTAATCACAGCCACTGCTTTCTTCTCCAGCAAGCGCCCTGGCCCATGGCCCCCCTGTGCTCCAGGGCAGAGGGCCACCTGGCAGCCAGCCCTGCTGTACATGCCCTGCTGTTTTTGTCCTTTGCGTGTTTAATCGCGGTGTTGGGGTGGGAACCTTGAATGGAAAAAGCATTGTCCTTCTATTAGACTGGTCCCAAACTAAAATATGACAGGGACCACACCCAGCCCGTGGGGTGAGTGGAACTCGGGCTGTGTGTGTGCTCCTGTCATATTTTAGTTGGCATGGTGGCTAATCCTCAGACATCACGCAGGCCGGGGTTTCTGACTTTTCACAGGAGGGAAGATTTGGCAGTGGGGGCCCAGGACAGAGATACCGCCCAGGACCAATTTTATGAAGTCGCAGTGTCTCGGCCGGTGGGACAGCGTGGGGTTGCAGGTGGGCTCGCCGACTGCGCCTGTGGCTTCTCCTTGGCCTCAGGTCTCTGCGTTCCACTGCTCGGGCCCTGCGGGCAGGTTCTTGCCCCAGGCCCGCTCTTGGCTTGTTCTTGGCGTGTTCGCAGCGGCACTCCCGGAAGCTCACGGCCTCGGCCCCGCTGTGGTCAGTGGTGCAGGGTCCTCTTCCCTGGCATGGCTCGGCTGCTGGTGTTTGGCTTCTGGAGAAGCAGCCTCCTTCCAGCCCTGGGCCTGGCCGGTGGGCCGTGGTGCGCCAATCCTGCAGGACACTCACCTCCACAGACCAGGCTGCTTGCATCAGATCCTGTCCCTCTGGTCCTGACCTTGAACGTGACATGGAAATGCATCTCGACCTATGACCTCAACCACACCCTAAAACTGATGCTCACCTTTACATGGACCTGCCTTGAGATGAGCTTGAATGTGACCTTGTATGTGACCCTGATCCCAACCATAGCCCTAATTTTAGACTTGACTCTGAACTGACCGTCCTCTGATCTCAGCCTCATCTTGTCATTGACAATCATCCTAAACACGGTGCCCCTTAGAGAAGACCTTGACTCTGACCCTAATCATAGTCCAGCTTTGAGGTTAGCACTGACTCTCACTTCGACCTCCTCACCCTGACCTGGGACCAGCTGCCACGTTCCCGTCCACCCAGGGCCTGGCCGGCCTTGGTCTCACCTCGCGGGACCCACAGTGATACAGGCACCATAAGTACATGCTTTCGAGAGAAGCAGTGAGAAGGGGTTAAAGCCTTCCCCTAGTGAGACGGAACGGGGTGGCCCTGGGGCTGTTTCCAGCCACCTCAGCTCACTCCCCAGACCAGAGGAAGTACTGCTGAGGCCGGGGATGCGCTGCTGCACCCGGGCCGGCGCGCGTCGGTAGGCTTCCTCGGTCTGATCCATGCTGGCCTCGCGGTGCGGGAAGCCCGGGGCTGACCGCTGCTCCAGCGGGAATTCTTACCCAAAGCCCTGTTCGGATTGACCCTCACTTCTGCCTCCAGTAAGAACGTGCCCTTAAGGTGGGCTGCGTCCCTCACGTTTCTGCTGGTTACCGCTGACCAGTGGAGGCTGCTAACTCGCTACACCCCTTAGCGAGAACGCGCCGCTGCGGAGCCCACCAGCTTGTTTACGCTCGCGCAGGACGAGCCGCAGCCTGCTCGCACTGCCTCCTTTCATCACCAGTAGTTAGACTCATCCTGACTGGCTCAGACTCCGAGGTCTTAAGTATATTGCTGAGTTTATGTTCCTCTTGCTCCATGAATCCTGACCCAGACCCTGATGCTCAGATAGATGCACAAGTCTCAAGGGCCAGGATTTTGTCCCCCCCTCCCCCACCATCTGACCTTGAACATGAACCTGAGGTTGAACCTCCCACCTTCATCATGACTCTGAAGATGGTCTTGGACCTCACACTGACCTGATGGTTCTTTGCCTTGGTCTTGAAACCCTCATTCTGACCATGTCCCACCCTAATTTAAAGTTGACCTTGTACTGTACCTTAAACTGGACATTTTCCATGAACCTTGACCCACCCTGGCTTTGAAATGACCTTGAATTTGATCTTATCCTTGAACCTGACCTTGATCCAGTCTCACCACGTGTGTGCTCCTTATGATGTAACCTGATTTTGAGATGACCTCAATTTGACCCTAAATGTCACACTAACACTCATCACAACCTTGGGGTGAACTTGAACTTCACCTTAAAAAATGACCATCCTGGTAGGTCTGGGGAAGGGGCGGCAGGCGCCACGTCCAGCTACAAAGGCGGCAAGAAAAAGCCACTGGCGCAGCCCAAAGAGATGGACAAGGAGGATGAGGCGCTCGTGCAGAAACGGGGAGGGGCAGAAGAACCCCAAGGAGGCCACGGGGAAAGGTGCCCTGGCCACAGGCGGAACCCTGTGCCTGAGGCAGTGACGACCCTTGATTCCATTCCTGTTTACACGTCTGGACGCCCTGTCAGAGAATCTGTTGCCACCTACAGCTGGAATGAAGTGTTGCCTTGGGACCCACTGCACGTTTAAGAATAAACTCGTGTAGAAGAAAAAATCATACAATGGCTCATCTTCCCTTTAGTTCGTCTCAACCATTTCTGCCGTAGCTGTGAAATCAGTGTAAACCCAGCCCAGAATCCGACCAAAATGTGTTCTTAAGTCTTTGTTCCATCCTGAGCCTGAATTCTGTACCACCTGGAATTAAACCAACTCATTTCAAATGGAAACAAAAAACAAAACCAAAACCTGATACTGGCGTGTTGACCAAAGTTAATGCCGAACTTACCCTTAAATTTAATCATCTTGAAAATGACCCTTATCCCTGACCCAGATCATGCTGCCAGCATCTCTCCCTGAGTCACTGATTTTAACCTTGAACTTCTCCTTAACTCCAGTCTTGTCCTTCAGACACCATGATCCTGGCCGTAACCCCTGTGAAGTGACCTTGGATCTCTCTGAAGTTAATCCAGGACCCGACCTTGATCTGGTGTTCTGACCACGTCACACCCGTTTTCACTTAATCTTGAACGTGTGCACAGTCATTATGATCGTAACCCTCCCTAAACAAGAAATAACCATGAACGTGACCTTGAACTTGAAGGGGGCCCTCATTCTGACCCTTATCCTCACTTTAACCAACCTTAACCACATTTTGCATTTTTTTTGAGGTGGTATATTTTGCTTGTTTTTAGCTTGCCACTAACACTGAACCAAATACTGACACTTCTGCTTGTCATGACTTTGACCCTGAGCCACCCTGGTGACCTCATGCCCTCAGTTTGTACCTCACCTTGATTCTGTCATCCTGTCGCTGTCGGGTGGCAGTCCTGACTTTGAGCAGCCCTGACTGCAAGGTGACTGACCCTGGCCCTGCTCCTCAGCCTGTTCCCATCTTTGACCCGGCCCACCTGACGCTATCCGTCTTCCGTATTTGAAGCAACGTGGATTTTCCCTTGACTCTAAGTCTGATTCTGACCTGTGCAGTGCCATGCCCTTGACCCCTGCTCTAGACCCTCACCTCGACACTGACAGTCAGCTGACCTTCCGCAGCCTGACCTCGGCAACTTTCCTTCATACTGAGCCTGACAACGACCAACTCTGACCTTCAGCTTCATCTTAGCCCTCATCTTAACCATCCTTTGGACACAGACCTTCATCCGTACTTTGAACCACCCCAACCTTGAAGTGACCTCACGCTTAACGCTGACTGATCCGTGTCCTCACTGTCGCCATGGGCGTGACTGGTGACCGTGGGGCCACCACGCCCTGAACTTGGCTGTGAAGCCAGCCGACCCCGACCAGGATGTGCCTGCCCTTCCAGAGGCCTTTTCCTGGGTCCCAAGCTGCTGTCACCTTCCAGATCCCGTTTTGTTCCTTGTCCCGGGCTCCTGGATTGCTGTGGCTGGAGACTGCTAGGGCTGCCGTTAGAATAAACAATGGTGTTATTGTCTCATAGTTCTGGGAGGAAGGAGCCTGAGATCCAGGTGTCGTCGGCAGCGTGGGTCCCTCCGAGGTTGGCTTGCAGATGACCGTCTTCCCGTGTCCTCACGTGGTTGTCCCTCTACGCCTGTCTTGTCTGAAGACACCACTCCTGTTGGGTTGGGGCACCTAGTGACCTTATTTAACTTAGTTGCCCTTTTTAAGAGCCTCTTTCCAAATGCAGTCACATTCTGAGGTGTTGGGGGCTGGGACTGCCCTGTAGGAACGTGAGGGGAACACTCCTCAGCCCTTAACGTGCCCCGCCTGCAGCCAGCTCCAGGGCCTGTCGTTTACTTTGGGAACATCCCTTCTCCACGCACCTTCCTGCCGGCTTTCCCCTGTCCTGGCTTGCTCTAATCCAAAAGCCTCACAAGGCGCGAGCTACCTCCTGCCAAGAGGAGGAAGCGAGCTGAGCGCATCTGAAGGTGGCCGACAGGGCTCCTTCTCCAGCAAGCCCATCTGTGTGTTAGAAGCAGCCGAGGGCCGGGCCCCACCCAGCTTTACGGGCTTCACGGCCCTAGGCTGGGGGCCTCGAGGTCCTTTTAATTCTGAGGAGCAGCCGGAGGTGGACTGGTGTAAAGCTCTCCCCGAGCGTTTCGTGGGCTGCGATCACGTGTGAGGCCCACTGCTTGTTCCTGAACCGGATTTTTGCCTTAAAAACACTAAAGCTCTGAAACACACACTCGCCCCCTCCCCACGCTCGCAGTCCTGCATAGTTTGGGCCCACGTTCCCTACACACACCCCGCCGGAAATTTCACACTGGGTCCCGTTTCCTGGCTGCTCGATCACTAGTCTGTGCGCCCCGCCCGGAGGCTCAGCCCGTTTCCCTCCCAGCGCCAGGCTCCCGTCCTGCTGTCCTGCTTCAGCACCGCACACACGGGAGTCCTGCCTCCGTCCGCGGGACGGGGCTGGAGCCGCCTCTCCTGCTGGGCGCCCCTCCCTTTGCGGGGGCTCCACTGAGGGAGCCTGCCGCGGGTCTGGTCACCCCTCGGGGGAGGGGAGGAAAGGCCCCCCTGGGAGGGCCCAGCACTGAAGGGGGGGCCTCAGAAGTGGGCTTGGCACCCGCACCGTTGCCCCTTCAGAAAAGTACCCAGGCTCGCTCTCCGTCACCCCTCCACCCTGGGAAGGGCTGCTCAGGGGGTTTTGTCCACGGCCTGGGGGCAAACAGGGTAACTGCTGGCCATCTCTCCTTGCTCTGGGGTCGGAGCCTCCACCTCTGACAGCAGCACTGAAATCCTATCAGGTCACTGATTCTCTGGTGGTTTCCCCCGGAACAGCTGAAGCATATTGAAAGGATTCTACACTATGGCCAAGTGGGATTTACTCCTAAAATACAAGGATGATTCAACATATGAAAGTGTCAACACAGCACATTTATAGGATGAAGACAAAACCCAGCACAATCACCTCAGCTGATGCCGAAAAGACGTCTGAAAAATCCCACTCGAAAGCTGCACAGCAAAGGGGACCATAAACAGAAGGAAACAGCAGCACACTGAACGGGGAGGGGGTGCTTGCAAGTCATGCTGGTAAGAGGCTAATATCCAAAATATATGAAGAACTCATACAACTCAGTGACAAAGAAACGATCCAACTTCTTGTAAATGGGCAAAGGATCTGAACAGACATTTTTCCGAGAAAGAGATGCAAATGCCCGGCAGGCACACGAGAAGGCGCTCAGCGTCACCGGTCGTTGGGGACACACAGTTGAACCCCAGTGAGCGGCCTCCTCGCACCTGTGAGAACGGCTGCTCTTCAGACAAGGAGTGCCGAGTGCCAGCGAGGCTGTGGAGCAAAGGGAACCCTTGTGCGCCGCCGCCGCTGAGAATGTGAACTGGCTCAACCGCTTTGGAAAACAGTCCAGGGTTCCTCCAAAAATTAAAAAAAAAAAATAAAACAAGTACATGATCCAGCAGTTCCACTTCTGGGTTTGAATCCAAAGAAAACACACCTCAGAAACGTCACCTGCACCCCCAGCACCAGTCACAGCAGCCGAGACATGGAAGCAACCGCGTGTCCAACAGCAGGCGACTGGATAAGGAGCTGGGGCCACGCACGTACGCGCACACACAGTGGAATATTATTCAGCCACTTTTTCCTTCATGAAAGAAGGAAATCCTGGCATTTGTGACAACATGGATGGACTTTAGGGCATTATGTTAAGTAAAATAAACCAGAGAAAGACAAATACCGCGTGATCTCACTTATATGTCAAATTAATTAAACAAAGGAACAAAACTCACAGTTACCGAGAACGGAGCGGCGGCTGCAGAGCAGGGGGTGGGGGCGCGGAAATGAGGGACGAGGCTCAGAAGCTACAAACTTCCAGTCACAAAACTGGTCCTGGGGCTGCGACGCGCAGAATGGTGGCTGTGGCTAACGACTCTGTGTTGCATACTTGCAAGTTGCTGACGTGACCGACCAGGCTCGTCTTACCTGATGCGCACCAGGCCGGACGCCGAGGTGCCGAGGTTTGCAGCCAAGTGAGGCTGTGTTCGCAGGGGAGCCAAGTGAGGGCAGCTGGTCCAGAGTCGCCCTCCCAGAAGGCCAGGGGGCCCCGCGTGCTCACGGGATCACGAATCACGCAGCGGGGCGGTCTGGGGCGGGGCGGGGCGGTCACCCCGTCCCTCCCGCAGGTGTAACTGAGCTAAGGCCTCTGCTCAGAAGGCCGCCCCGGGGACACTCACGCAGTCGGC